ATTTCCAGCTCTTTAACTCTAGGGTTTGAATTTCCAGTCAAGACCTATCCATAAGTATGCTCCTTAGGCCCAGCCTAGACAGAGGATCTGATTTCCTGGCTATAGTGATTGATTTAGGAAGGGGCCCCTAACCTGAGCTGGACCAATCAGAGGCTTTGCCAGAGATATCAAGGAGCTGGAGATAATAGGATTCAGAGAAGAAATCTATATATATAAAAGCCTAAGCAACCTTTATGACTGGATGACCGGCCAGTAGCTATGATGTGCACTGACCACCAGGGGGCAGATGCTCAATGCAGGAGCTGCCCCCCGGTGGTCAGTGTGCTCCCACAGCCAACCTCCCGCGGTCCCTCCCCCAAGCCAGCCGGCCCCAATCGCCCTGATCAGGACTGGGAGAGACGGCCTCGATTGCCAGCCAGGCCGAGGGACCCCATCCGTGCACAAATTCGTGCACCAGGCCTCTAGTGAATGATAAAAGAAAAAGAAAATAAGATCAACCAAACCAAAATTGATCAACCTCTGAGCAAGACTGAATTAAAAAAGGAAGAATCCTAAATAAGCAATCTTAGATGAAAAGGGGCACTTGAATATAGCCAGAAGAGATGAAAAAGATGCCTACAGATATGAAAATTTAGATGAAGTGCACAAATTCTACAATGTAAATGACTGAAGAAAAACTGACTGAAGAAAAAACTAGAAAATCTGAATGTTCCTTTTACCATGAAAGAAATGGAATCAGTAGTTTAAATATTTTTTTCTATTATAAAATAGAGAGTTTACCTATAAAATTGGGCTTGGTGTTTTCTTTGATTAAAAAACAGTAAAATAATATAGCCAGGAAATTAGATACTCTGTCTAGGCTGGGCCTAAGGGGCATACTTAGGTCACGGATAGGTCATGACTTCAAATTCAAACCCTAGAGTTAAAGAGGTGGAAATAAAGTGCTGGTACCCAAGCTGTTGGCTTGTTAGTGGCTGGGTTGGGAGTTTGAGTCTTCTTTCCACTCTAAAGGAGAATCACTAGATTTTGCTACATGTGAAAAGGAACACTTATGTTAGCCTATCAAACATTCAGAGAGCAATCTCTTTGAAGTGTGTTATCATTAAGTAAATGATAAAAAAATATATATAGGTAAACTCTATCAAACATTCAGGGCTAGATATTTGCAATGATAAACACTTTTTAAAAAAGTTGTTTTATTATTATTTTTTAATCCTCACTCAAGGACATGCTGAGAGAGAGGGAGAGAGGGAAGGAGACAGAGAAAGAGAAAAACATCAATGTGAGAGGGAAACATCGATCAGTTTCCTCACATACTCACCCCAACTGGGGATTGAACCCGAAACCCAGGTTTGTGCCCTGACCAGTGATGTACTGGGGCTGACACTCCCTCCCAACCCAAAGCCACACAGTGCAGCTACCATAGAAGCCTCTTTTCTTGTCACTGAATAATATTTTTTAAGTGTTTGGAATCAACTGAATAATTTTTTTTAAGTGTTTGGAATCAGGGTTGCGTAAGTCAATTCAATATAATACGCATAATTATTTTCATAAATGTAGATAATAGTATGAATGGTATGTTGCTACAGTTACTTTTGTTTTATTAAGAAAAATTTGACAACTATCTATATTCTACAAGGAAAAAAAATGAGGCAGATGTCAAACCAAAATTAGTATCCGTAAGTGGCCTCTCAGAACTCTTACCCTAGAAACTGTTGAGGCTTGCAGATCTCTGTGCTCAACAGTTGATAGTGTAGCATGTTTATTCATGTCAGTAGCACATTATTAAGCTGAAAGGGCAATTTAGATTAATAGAATATGGACTGGCCCTTCTTCTACTTTCAAAAGTTATTAAAGCCTGGATTTGATGTTTGGAGACTTCTTTTATTAGGCACAGAAATCATGATATTATTGTTAGCTTGCAATATCCCAAATATTGTCCAGTAAGTTAGCCGAGTGGTATTTCTGAAATAAAGCCAAAGGCCTCCAATTTTACTCCGTGTGAATTAATTCCACCACGTAGTTCCCTAACTTTAGTTGGTAGTAACAAGAACTGAAAAGAGAAATGACACACCTGTCAGCTGCTCTCTGAAATTACACTGATTCTGTTTCTGCGATTAAAACCTTGAAATGATAACCAGATGCTCATTAACTTGATAAGCTCTGGGGAGGAGAGGAGCTGATGAAGTGTTAGATTCAATGACATCCTGTAAGTAAATGCTTTCAGCTATTCAGACACAGCCATGCCTTGCAGTTTGGTGGGAGGAAACAGAGAAGAGGATCACTCTCCTTTTACCGTACAGATGTGTGTGGGCCACATGAATGGCTTTATGGTGGCTTTTGTGGAACAATTCAGAACTAACTGGGTCACCACATTACCTTTATAAAACTGAGATGCTTATAATATTAGATGCTCTAACAAGCTATTGCAGTTTCCAAATGAGCACAGGTGTAAATCCTACTAGGATTATTGGACCATGACCATCCAACACTCTTTACCTAGTTAAATGTGGAAAAAGACATTTTCCTTTAAAAGCCATTCATAATCCAAAAGCAAGTGTGCAATGAAGTGTTTGTTAAAAAGCGATGTGGGTGTTTTGACTGTTCAAAGGCCATTAGCTTCTCTAGGAGCTCTGACTCCGAAGTCTAAATGAGAAAAGCAATAAGGTCACAGGTGGACCACATGCTCCGATCCTGTGGGTCCCCCAGGAGGCGAGATACAGAGCACTTCCTGCCGACAGTGTTGCAGTCTGGGCGGGAGAGCTCCCCGGTTTGCAATTGCACCCTCTGCTGGTGAATGCAAAGGTTCTCTCCCTACTGGGGCTGCTCGCTGGCAAATCATTTGCTCACCATTTCCCTCCAGTCAGGAATAGAAAATACTAAAATTATCTTAGTATAACACAAACTGGGCTACAAAGTGGCTATACAGCACCCGGGATTAGAAAATCCAGCCCTGATGATAGTTGTTCTATTCATTCATTACGAAGAGCTCAAGCCTTCTGTCCAGCTTGTACATTTTTAATCTGGAGGCAAAATTGATCATCTCTTGTCAGAGTCTGGGGACTTAGGACCAGAATGCACTTTGCTATGCTAAGTCTATCTGTCTTTGGCAAAAGAAAAACAATCTAACATAGGAAAGGATAGATCAGTGGTTTTACAAGCGCTTCTCACAACGCAAGGGCTATGTAAATTGTCATTTGTGTTTTACGATGTGGATATGTAAATATACACTTTTGTTTTAGCATATACATATAGCCTGGCATAGACATGACCTTTTGGAAGTATACACAAGAAACTTTATTACCTCTTTGTAGAAGCACTAAGTAAGGGATGTGGGAGGGAGAAGTTCACTGCCCATTTTATACCTTTCTGTATTGAGTTTTACTATAGACATTCATTACCTTAATTTTGTTTTTAAAAATTAACAGATTACTTATATGGAATACTTCAACTTTGAACTAGTCAAATATTATAGAACATTTTCATTTTCTTTATAAGTTTTGAATTAAAAACTTAATATTATCTAAAAGAATAAGAATAGTTTCTAAAAAGGTGTTAGTAACTACATTAAAGACCAAAGACAAAAGTACAAAAAGTACCATAAATTTATACAAAGTTCCAAATTTTTCTGAGAATGATTTTAGTTATTAATGGAAAATAATGGGATTAATAAAAACATTTGAAAACTTGTACATTACAACTATATAATAATGTTTTTGAGAAAGAGTTCTTTCAGGCATGAGTTCTGAACAGATCTCTAACTGTTACATATTGAAAAAAATCCACATTTACTTAATAGGCATAAAAATCCCTTTATGCCTGTTAAGTAAATGAATCCTACTATTTCAGTACTTGATAAAAGTATAATTCCACTTTTTAAGGTGATCATTCATATTTTACACTAAGCTTTGATATTTTCTACTTAGTAGATATCTATATAAAAATACCTTTTGGTCATGAAAAACATCTTTGCATTACAAAATGTAGCTTGAAATATGTTTATATCAGTTCCAATTTATATAACTTTCTGACCTAAAAATATTGCTCTTTTTGGAACTACACCAAATATATAGCTTGTTACTGAGCTTGAGCCAAACTGGCTAGGGCTGAAATACTTTAAAAAGTCAATTAATTGCCCTAACCGGTTTGGCTCAGTGGATAGAGCGTCGACCTGCAGATTGAAGGGTCCCAGGTTTGATTCCGGTCAAGGGCATGTACCTTGGTTGCGGGCACATCCCCAGTAGGGGGTATGCAGGAGGCAGCTGAATCGATGTTTCTCTCTCATCGATGTTTCTAACTCTCTATCCCTCTCCCTTCCTCTCTGTAAAAAAATCAATAAAATATATTTTAAAAATTCAATTAATTTAGAACACCTTTCATGTCAGTCAAAAGGGTAAGATCAAATGAAATACCTCACATGAGTGTAAAATCTATACTTAATTCAAAAAGGCACATGGAAGATGTGTAGCCTTTCACTGTGAAAACACCTCATCTCGCAGCAGCACCAGAGTTTGAATTCCTTTGACAAGGATTTTGTTAACATTTTTAACATAACATGATGAATAAAGCTCTACAGTAGTAGATAGACTCTAGAAGAGAAGGTAATTAGATGACATACTTTCTAAGGTTTTTACCAGCCTTTCTGTTGTAGGAAAGACATCCTAGGTATAGTTTGCATCATTTTGTTGTTCATTCTTATTCCATAGTAATTATAACTGTGTGACTTTATTATCCTGAGCTCCCTAATATTTGCTAACTCCCTCCTCCAGCCACCAGTAGCTAAAGGTTTATATTTTCATTTTGGGGTCTCATTTTCTAAATTGAATTGACCCATTGCCACAATGAAGAAAACACCCTCAAACTCTTTACTGATCATAAACCCTAGTTGTTACTGGCTCTGGCTATTGTCATTAAGGTGAGATCTGTAACCACAAGCTTCCCTACATCTTTCTGTCCTCTGTGATGACACTCTGTGTCCATTCACCCTTCCATCACCATACCTATCTAGGTGGCTGCTGGAAGATCCACAGCTCCTCCTGTTTCTTCTCCTTTTGTTTCCGCTCTTTCACTAACTTTCTCCATCTCTGTTCCAACCTCTTCGCCTGTCTCGCCTGGAAAAGTAACCACAGGAGATATTAAGAGATGCTTATTTAGCATTAACAATAAAGTACCCACAGCTGGTTGCCAATGGGGACAGATTTTTGTTGTTGTTAATCCTCACCCAAGAATATTTTTTCCCGTTCATTTTTTAGAGAGAATGGAAGAGAGGGAGGGAAAGAGAGAAACATCGATGTGAGCAAGACACATCGATTGGTTGCCTCCTGCACATGCCCCAATAGAGAATATAACCCTGAACCCTTCAGTTCCCAGGCCGACACTCAACCATTGCTACACTGGCCAGGGCTGGGGACAGCTCCTACTCTTTAGGTCTAAACAATACATTTTTTTGGTGGTTTCAAGACAGGTGATCACCCTGGTTCTCTCAGATGCTCTGAATGCCAATAACAACACTTCTGAATCTGGACACTGCACATACCAATCTATTTCCCTAAGAAGTCGGTTTGGACAGCACTGGCCCCATGCTCATGGTGGAGCCAAGAGCAGCTGCCTCTTCGATAGGGACCATGTTCCTATTGACCAAAGTCCCTGTGAGCTCTGCCGGACCTTCCATGTGCCCCTCCCTTCACTCCCTCTCATTATCCTAGGCCCTAAAGACTTGACTTTGCCAGCCCTGGTCTAACAAATATCTGCTATTTCTTGTTTCTCCCTTGTTACTCCCAGAGTACTTGTACATATCTTCATCAAAGTGCTTATCTCAATAGGTTGTGGCAATTTGTTTAAATTCTGCCTTCTTCCCACTAGACTGTGACCCCCTTGAGAACAGGAGCAATCTCTTACTCCTCCTGAACCCAAGCGCCTCCCATATGATTAAGCACAACAACCACTGCGCTAATAAATGAAAGAATTAAGCAACAGAGGGATAAATGCTTCACTTAATTATAGGGTGAAGCTAAAATTAGCCAAAATGTAAATCATGCCCCAGAAGAAATGTTATTTTTTACAATAACTCCAATAAAGTACAGTATAGGCACCATTTATTTTTCTCTGGTAAGATACACTTAAAAAACACCATATGCCAAAACAATCCATTTCCTCTAGTATTCTCTTAAAGGTAAAAAGCGTATAGGAGGACAAGGGCAGAGTAATTTTCTAAGGATAAAACTGGCAAAGATAAAAATTACACTGTAAGATCCATTATTTGTGTGTTCTTTCCTTAGGACATCAATTCCTCCACTAACCATCTATTCATCTTTCCTTTGGAACCTCACCCCTCACATGGGACCTGATGAAGAGTAAACATGGGAAAGTCCAGAAATTTTAACATGTTGGCTTCAATATTCGGTTCTCTCCAATGATGAAACTAGGTTAGAAATCTGGACACACAATGTGCTTTAGAAAAGTTTGCTGGAAAGCCAAACGCCTGTTTTCCAGATATGGAAACCTTCTTGACTTGGGTCAAACGAACTTCAACCACCTGTAATAGATACTTCAGTGTATGTAGAAGCCACATCCTCCCCCCCATCCTTGCCCCCCCCCTCCCCCGCCCGCCAAGATGACCTCTTATGAAGCCCATCTAAACATCCTGAATCTCTCACAGCATCTCTTACCTTCAATGTTTTGGTCCTCCTTTTTGGTGTGAATTTTCCTGACCATTTCCATGTTTGTCCCTGTTTCCAGAGTTCCCGCTGGACGCTCCACGCTTCCGACTATTCCTTCAGGTTGAATCTGCTCCATGTTTACCAGACCTTCAGGAGTTTTAGGAATCAAATCGTTCTTTACAGCTGCTTCCACAAGCTGACTTCCTTCCGATATTTCCAGAAATCCTTTCCCTTTGGACATTGTTTCTAGAAGTTGGGATTGCTCATCCCTCCCCAGTGTTTCTTGAAGTTGATGTTCCTCAGCTGTTTCAACAGGCTGACGTCCTTCCAATATTTCTGGAGCTTCCGTCTCCGTGGGAACGGTGTCTAGGAGTTGGGGCTTTTCTGGAGGTTGTGACTCTCTACCTGCTTCCAGAGGTGGGATTTTTCCAGCTCTTCTTAGAGGTTTCATCTCTCTGGCAGTCTGTGGAGTCTCGGTGTCTCCTACGGCTCCAGGGGAGTCCCTCTCGCCGGCTGTCCTCAAAGGCTGATGCCTGGCTTCTGTTCCTAAAGGTTCCGTCTCGGCATTTCCTTCTAAAGGCTGGGCCTCTGTCACTGCTTCCACATCTTTCTGTCCTCCTGCTCCTGGAGTTTCATCTTTGCCATCTTGCTGAAGTGGCCCAGACTCCTGGGGTCCCTCTAAAGGCTGAATCTTCTCCGGGGATCCCAGCGGGTCTGCAGCATCCTTTGCCAGGGGCTGATCATGAAGGGATTTAACACCATTAGCTGTAGACGCTGCTGAAATCTTGAGCTTCTCTAATGGAGGAAGGTTTTCCTTTTGTGCCTTGTCATAAGTAGTAGATTCTCCTCCCAATGTACGGGGTTTGGGTTGGACAAAGCAGGACTCGCTTTCTTCTGTGGTTGAGAAATACATAGCTGAAGTTACTTTTTGATCGTTCATTTGAAAAATAAAAAGAAAATACACATTCTTGTTCAGTTTCTATCTTGAGAAAGTATATTGCTATCAAGAAGTAGATTTGACAGTTCAAGACAGTCTTGGGTGCAATTGAGTACAGAAAGGCCATTACCATGACCCTAACACTCCCTAATTCAAGTCTCTCTGCTGTCTTCAGCTCACACACCTCATCCTGAGCATGAAGGTCCTTCAAAAGCACAGTGTGTTTTTCCTGTTTGCTCCTTATGCACTTTCTCATGGTTCCTGTCCCATATTCTAATTTAGTACATTTTGTTTTCTCATGTTCTTGTCCCTGTTCCACCTTTCTTCCTCCTTAGATGTAGCTGAAGATTTTACCATGTGTGGTCCTTGGGCTGCTTGAAATGTCTTACTTTCCTTCTAAAGTAGAAGGACCCTGAGTGAAAGGAGGAGGCCTCCTGACAGAGAAGCCCCATTAGGTCAAGACTAAAATGCCTGGGAAGGAAAGTGGCGTGTTCAGTTCATTTCATTTTGGGGGCGCACTGGGAAGACAAATTAGGAGAGATCTGAGAAGCATGCATTTTAATGATGGCTCTTCCTCTAACTGTATGACCTGGGGAACTTAGCTCCCAATGATCTCGTCTGTAAAATGGCAGTGAACCTGTCTCTCCCACCTGTCTCAGAGTTCCATGAGCCATCACCTCACATTAAACAATGAATGAAAAGTCATTGTGACAATACATGCCTATACTCTTTGACCCAGTGATCCTGGAAATTTATCCTAAAAGCATAAATGTCAGGGAAATGCTTTGGGGGAAAGTATATCATCCCAGTATTCTTTATAATAGCAAAAGCTGGAGAACAACTTAAAATCTAAAAATTGTGGGAAAAGATAAATATTCTACTGGATGAAATGTGACTGTACCATAAAAAAAAGATGATTATGAGGAGCATATGCTAAAAATAAGAAAATAATTGATATACAAGTTAAAAAACCAGCACTCACCATTGGGCTAATCAAATTAAATAATGCATATAAAGTGTTTATTAGAACAAGTTACCCTAATCAGAAATGACAAGTTTCTACCCAGCAAGGAGGAAACCTTGAGCAGTATGTCCTACCCCCGGGGTAACAGATCAGACATCCCAAAGACCTCACCGGCCTGTCTGCAGGGTTTTCTAGAGAATCAGTGAGAAAGGGAGATCTTGGTATTTTTTCCTTGTTGCCACCATCTCTAGGTTCTCGTAGGTTTTGACCTTCGGGAACCAGGGATGCAGCATGAGTCAGCTCAAGGGCAGAGCCTAGTCATCTTCCCGCTCCTATTTTTACTTTGCTTTCTCCTCAGTCCCATTCATTTCTTTATCCGCCCATCCAACAAGCATTTGTGGAGTTAACTGTGACGCTATTCTACATATGTCTGCCCCTTCCCCTCATCGGTGTACGTAGAAATGCTGTCCTCGTGTGCCATGGTGCACACGCTAATCCCCAAAGGCGCATTCTGTTGGTCAACAGATGTTAACAAGGCACTCATTTTGAAGAGAGGTGAACCTAAGCAATATCCCACGTAGGGAAGTATAAAACCATCAATAAAAACAATTTTTAAAAAATCCTATAGAGGGCAAATAAAAATCGGACAAGCCACTTTTCTTTTATAGTAGAAATACTTGGACTTGCTTATTTAAAATCAGTTTTGACCATCACAAGGTAAACGCAATAAAGTTTGAAGGTAAACCTAATTTTTAAATTTAACTACAGAGAAACAAGAACATATGGTTGGAAAGACACCTCAGAACGCTTGATAAGCACACGTAATTCCCGTGGAATTTTAACTGTTAAAAACAATGTGGGCCGAAACCGGTTTGGCTCAGTGGATAGAGGGTCGGCCTGCGGACTGAAGGGTCCCAGGTTCGATTCCGGTCAGGGGCATGCACCTGGGTTGTGGGCACATCCCCAGTGGGAGATGTGCAGGAGGCAGCTGAATCGATGTTTCTCTCTCATCGATGTTTCTAGCTCTCTATCTCTCTCCCTTCCTCTCTGTAAAAAATCAGTGGAATATATTTAAAAAAAAAACAACAAAAACAAAAAACAATGTGGGTGTTTGTTTGTTTGTTTCAGTCTTCATCCTTAAAGGGCAAAGCTCTGACCCCCTGGGCAGTTCCCAAGGAGGGGTTCAAGGAATGAACAATAGTAACAGCCCTGACAGTAGAGAAGCTTTGAGGTCATTAGGGTATTTTCCAGACATTAACACCCACTTGCCGAGCTTTAGTCTGGTATTTGGATTTTAAAAAAACCAATCATTACCCAGTACTACCTACACTTGTACACACCAGGATTTGAAGCCTAGCCAAGTTCGATGCTTTTATCAGTTTTGGTGAGCCTTTCAGTAACCCCCCCACAAGTATTAGGTTTTTATTTTAAACTTGATGTTGTAAAACATTAACATAAGTGAAACTGTACACAGGAGCTGGGACAGGTGGCAACCTTACAGGAGCATGATTTAGCAGAACACAATAAAACTTTGTTTTGCTGTGTTGACCTTTTCCTGTCTGACTAGAAGACCCTCTTAATAACCCAACACTCTCTTCCCAAGCCCATTTTGGCTAAAATGACTTTCCAGTTTCTGTATTCTATGGGTCCCGATTCCCATTCTCTCTCTGCTTTTCTAAGTAGTACTCCCACCCCGCTAAATTCCCATCTCTGTTTACTCATTCATTCACCCATCCACACACTCTACAGAAACGCACTGCATTCCTCCTAGGTGTAAGGTGACATGACGAGCTCTGGCAGAACCGAACCTAGACCCCAGATGGGACTGGAGTCTGTAAGAAGAGCAGGGGTTCAGAGCCTCACATACTAAGCCCCAACCCCATCACTTACTAGCTGTGAGACCTTGGGCAAGTTATGCATCCTCACTGAGCTGCGGTTTTCAGCTGTTCGGTTATCTAATGTTTGCTTTATTTATACGGCTCTTGTAGGAACTAAATGAGATCACGGCTAAAAATCTTGGAAACAAGTGGGTACTCCTATCTTATCTCCTGATTCCTGCTCTGTTCCCATGTTTTGATGCAGCTGCACTAAAGCCTTCAATTTTAGGAAAAGATTTATTGTACTGTTGATGAGAGTGTAAACTAGTCTAACCCTGAGAAGTCACTGAGGCAGTTATCTATCGAATTATAAATGCACGTGCCCTCTCCCACTTCTGGGAAACTGTCTACAGTCACGCTTGCACACATTCAAAATGACGTCTGTGTAAAGGAATTCAATAGCAGCCATTTGCAACAGGAAAAGACTGAAAACAAATAGGGGACTGGTTAAGGAAATCACACACTGCATTCTTTAAACAAGCATTAAAAAGGAGAAAGTTCTCTATATACCAATATAGAAAGATCTCCTTATTGGTAGGTGAAAAAAACAAGGTCAAGACTATTGGTTATAATACACTATATTTCATGAAAAAAGATGGGAGAGAGAAATGGTATTTTACTCTATAAAGAAACTTTGGAAGAATACACAGAAAATTTTTTTACTCTTAGGTGAGATCAGAACTAAGCAGATGGTGGGTAGGAGGTATGATTTGCATTGTATTCATTTTTCAAATGTTTTCTTTTTTTTGAGCCATATATGTAGTTCTTAGATTCCGTTTTAATTCACTGTACATAATAACCAGGCCTACCGCAAAGACTTACCAAACATTCTCTGCGTGCCAGGCTCTCAAGGGAACACAAAGACATACAAGACTCAGTCCAGCCTAGCCAGTGTGGCTCAATGGTTGAGTACTGACCTATGAACCAGGAGGTCACGGTTTGATTCCCAGTCAGGGCACATGCCTGGGTTTCGCGCTCGATCCCCAGTGTGGGGCACCCCGGAGGCAGCTGATCAATGATTCTCCCTAATCACTGATGTTTCTATCTCTTTCTCCCTCTCCCTTCCTCTCTGAAATCAATAAAAAAATATATTTAAAAAAAATATATTTTTTAAAAAATTCAGAGAGTTCTAGCAGTCTACGGCCATACCACCCTGAACGCGCCCGATCTCGTCAGAGAGTTCTAGCATTTAAAAGACAGAAATCCCATTTGTATAATATCTATATGCAAGAAAAGCCTATAAAAATTCATGCTAGTGTTACTGATGTTTGTTCTTTAATTAAAAAAAAAATGTCTACTTAGGACTGAAATTCACTGTGTAAAAACACTGGTTGAAGACTGAAGGGATCTCCACTATACAAATAACAATGGACATAACTGTGTGAAATCCAAGCCTCATCTGACTGTCTTGGCAGCAGGTGCTCCTCACAGTCGGGGTTGAGGCTAGAACAAACAAATGACTGCCTGTGAGTGGAAATGTACACATTAACCTAGCAATGAATTTGTCAATAATTACCACCTATTTACTTTGTCTACTTTTATGCTTAAGCTGTAAAACCTCAGGAAGAAGCCTCCCAAGTGGACGGCATTCATTTTAGAAAAGAGTTTGGGAAAGAGTTACCCATGAAACCAGGGGCTGGAAGCACTGGGAGGAGGGACGAGGGTTCCCAGGCCAAAGCTTCCGGTCCATTAACGTCTGTGAAGTCAGCAAAACCTTTGTGTTCAGAGTCCAACGGCTACTCATGGCACTGGAAAGGATAGAAATCACCCTAATATTTACAACTTGCTTCCACAAACAAGAAATTCCAACTCTAATTGTCCTTTGGGGAGGGGGGAGCATTCAGTAAAAATCTGTGACTATCAGGTACCAGGCACTGTTCTATACTTTGAGTAGCACTAATTAATGACTTACAATCATAGGCCACTCTCTACTTCTTTCCCTCGCCAGTGGTCTTGGAGGTGATGGGAGCTCGGTGGAATTGAGGATTGATGGGTCAGACTAATGTCGTCATGTGAATGGGTTTTCCTATTCAGCATAGCAGCTCCCTGACCAAGAGCTGCTATTAGATTTAAATTGGAGCCCAGAAAATAAGTACCTTCATATTTTAGTTTTACA